TAGGATTAGTTGTATTTGTTGTATTTTCAAAAATATATATGGTTTTGGGAGGAGATTTCTGCTGCTCTACTCATGCCGCCATCTTGGTTCTCTCTCTCCCTATGCCACAGTTTTCTATGTTGGAGTTCAAGATTTAGACGGAAGCAAATGGAAATCACAAAGTTCAGACACCAGTGTAACTTTCTTGCCATCTTTGACTTGGGTTTTGTTTTATGTTTCTCTTGGGGATGCAGTATTGCATAGTGGGTTAGAGAGCAGTCTCTAGCCTCCAGTGTGTGGTCCTGGATCAGGCTTCATTGGGTGATTATTTAATGTTTTGGTGCCTCAGTTTCCACATCTCTTACATGGAGATAATACTAGTACTAACCTCATAGGATTGTTATTTAAATGAGCTCAGAATAATGCCTGACACACGGGCATTCAGTACATGCTGTCTATTACGATTACCAATTGCATTTGTGGGGTTGAAAAATTCACTACAGTTTTCCAATTTATACAGTAATTCCTCTCTCAGGACAGCTCGTTCTTACATGGCTAACCCTGAATGCTTTAATCAGAACATCACCATTATTACTAACAACTCACTCTTACACAGAGGTTCTAGTATGCTCTGGCATGGCTCCGCATACAATACCCTGTGGTCAGTGACTCCTTTAATTTTAACAACAACCCTTTGTTTCTTTCTCCCACTTTACAGATGTAGAAACTGAGGCACAGGAGGTTAAGTCATTTGTCTAGGGTTATATTACCAGTAAATGGTGGAACAATGATTTGAATCCAAGTGGTCTGGCTCCAAAGTTTATACTCTTAATAGTTTAGGTATAATGCCTCATAAGAGTGTATTGTATTAATGCAAATATTCCCAACATAACAAAAACATAGATTTATATCTAAAACATTAAAATAATTTCAGGGATTCACATGATCTATGTCAAGATACCAGGGAGTTAATGACCCTTCACAATGAGTCCCAGCTCTTCTGTGATGTTTCACTAAGCAGATTAAGGTCTGGGATAAGTAATTCCTGCCCTATTTTTTTTTTTTTGGTATCATTAATCTACAGTTACATGAGGAACATTATGTTTACTAGACTTCCCCCATCACCATGTCCCCCTGACAAACCCCATTACAGTCACTGTCCATCAGCGTAGTAAAGACGCTGTAGAATCACTACTTGTCTTCTCTGTGTTGCACAGCCCTCCTTGTGCTCCCCCCCACATTATACATGCTAATCGTAATGTGCCCTTTTTTCCCCCCACCCCCTTATCCCTTCCTTCCCACTCATCCTCCCCAGTCCCTTTCCCTTTGGTAACCATTAGTCCATTCTTGGGTTCTGTGATTCTGCTGCTCTTTTGTTCCTTCAGTTTTTCTTTGTTCTTATACTCTACATATGAATGAAATCATTTGGTACTTGTCTTTCTCTGCCTGGATTATTTCACTGAGCATAATACCCTCTAGCTCCATCCATGTTGTTGCAAATGGTAGGATTTGTTTTCTTCTTATGGTTGAATAATATTCCATTGTGTATATGTACCACATCTTCTTATCCATTCATCTACTGATGGACACTTAGGTTGCTTCCATTTCTTGGCTATGGTAAATAGTGCTGCAATAAACATAGGGGTGCATCTGTCTTTTTCAAACTGCCTGCCCTACTTTTTGCATGGGGTTATTTTGGGAGTAAAATTTAGTAAGATAACAAACTAAATTATCATCTTAGAAAAAACTCAGATATTAAAAAAATTAAGCTGAGATAATAGGTGAGACTGATTTGCAAATTGCAAAGCTCTGTGCAGAGTTTTTTTTTTAAGTTCCTTTCAAGGGCTGAAAATACAGTCTTAACAGGCTCTCACCTAGAATTCTGAAATAGACCCAGACACCTCCCTGCCTCCAGTCTCTCACAATTGGAATCCATGTCTCATAAACCATCATCTGATCAGTTGTCTAAAAATAATTCTCCCTTTAAAAATATTTTAGAGAAACCTAAAACTTACTGATGTTATTATAAACTCCTTGGCTGTGAATCTGGGGCCTACTGAGATAGAGACCAAAGCCAACCATAACTGAATAGTGGAAATAGCACTGGAATATGTGTAGATCAATGGCTGAGTCTTAGCTCTGAAAACAGGTAATCTTGGAGAAATAATTTAATTGCTCTTTATAGTTTCTCACAGGCAGCACTTGGTGTATACATGTATTCACGTAGCTATTGAGACATTTGTTGAGCATCAGAGCATAAAAAGATGAATAAACAAATCTATAAATTACAGCATATAGTCCTGCCAGTTCTGTGATTCTACTGTTCAAATTCTATTGTCCACCATTGCCCTGCAGAAGCCCAGTCCTTACTCTCTACTCTATAATCCACACTGTTTGATTTACCTCATAAACCTTCTCCTATTTGTGCCTCTCAGCAGTCAATTGCCTTCTCATCTTTGAAGGTTCGCCTTAAAGGCCATGATTCTAAGACACCTCTCCTAATCCTAGAATGAGATGGTTTTTCTTCCACTTTTGAACTCTTATAAAATTTTGCTTTCCTCTCTCTAATATACTTCTGCCTGGTATGATTTTCCAGCTACATATTCTATCACTAATACTAGAGGCTAAGCTGCTTAAAAGCAGGGCCTGTGAGGTTCTCCCGAGCCTCCTGTATGGGCCGGCACAGTCCTGATGAGGCCTCCCCACCCACCCTGCTTAGGAAAGCAACGATTAGAGGTTTAGGGTTTACTGTTTCCAACTGTTTTGACATAAACAAGGGTAAAAAGGGTCAAGGTCCATGAAGATCACATGCTGTCCTCTGAAGGTGCACTTGGCATCAAGCTTTGGATCGTGTAGGGACACAGGGGAGCTTGCACCATTCTTGTAATAGAAACAGTTCTGATGACTAGGGATGATGAACAGTTATTAATCATTTATAACAATACAACACTTATGTATGTTAGATTGAGCCACATGAAATTTTTATCCACAAAAACAGCAATTTCATATGATTCAACCTAACACTTGGCTAGTTTATGATCTATCTCCCTTCCTTCACCCACTCTGAAATGAGTCCCCATAAAAGCAGGGATTTTCGAACATTTTGTTTGCCATTGTATCAGCAGTACCTGGAACACAGTGGCATTCAGCCAATATTTGGTGGAGTAATGAAGGAACCTGTGAAATACCAATTATTTGCCTTACACTCTACAATGTGATCCATTTCTCTTACAGCCCATTTGATTCCTTATAACATCTTGATTACTGCCATTATTCAGATGTGGAAACTGAGGCTTGGTGAGGTCAAGTTGCTTGCCCAAGACCACTCTCTTACCTGATACCATATGCTAGCCCATTTATATTTATGCTATGAAAGTTCAATTTGGGCTATCTTTCTCCTCTTTACTAGACCATGCATAGATTCTACTGGAAATAATGAGAAGGAATTGTAGAATACCAAAATAGACAGGTAGGTGGGGAGGAGAGGGAAAAAGGGGAGAAAGAGACAGCACTCAAAGGGTTTGGGGAAGACTGTTAATTCTTACGAAACTGCAGTATGAAACATCTAAAAATTACCCTCAGTCCTTCAGGTCCTCTGACTGAGGGTGGGGCTTTTCCACTGTCTTGACACTTGGAACTGCACCCCTGGTGGTGCTTTCCTAGGAGCAGGGTGGATGACGGACGGCTTTTGCCTGGAGCACACACCGAGCCTCTCTGCGACTACCAGACCCTTCCAGGAAGCAAGGGAGTGTTCTCAGCCGTTTTACTATTTCCTCTGTGGATGAAGTTGGGGCCCCTACTTACAAAACTTTGTTGCTTAAAAGACATTTCCCTAACCTATCTATGGAGATACAGTGTCAAACAAAAGCAAATTAATAGCATTTCTAAATGAAGGAATTTTGAGTTTGAATTTTGTTGATGTTATTCACGGATAACGGAAATATGCAGTTTATGTTTTGGAAGGGAACAGCGTGACCTTGGAGCATCTTGTTCAACAACAATGTTCATAATCTGTTAGTCTCAGTATTCCTGATGCCAGGATTCTCAGGTCCCATATAGGATTTGTCCAAGATGGCCCACTGTAATTCCCACTCTTGCTGAAATGTCCTTTCCCTTCAGTTTGAAACAATCAGTTCATTTTATAGGACATGGAATGTAAGACAGTCCCAATTTTCTAAAAGGTGCAAGAAGATAAATGGATGATTTTGTAAGCTTCCTGAAATAAAATGAGCAACTGGGCTTTCATAACATCAGGGTGACTCTCCTAAGTGATTAATTCTTTGAGATTTGTAAGACATTTTGGAACACAAAGAAAGCCTGTATTTCTTTCTAGAACTTGTAGTCTAACCCTGAAAGTGCCGGGGAGCAAAACAGAAAGACTGTAAACAAAAACACGGGAGTCACACTGAATGGGGAAAAATCTGCAGGTCTACAACATACTAGTTAGTGGACCTCTGGAGAGTTAGTTAACATCTCTAACCAGTTTTCTCATGTGTAAAAGAGAGAGAGTGCCACCCAACACTACAAGGATCAGAAAATGAATGTAGAACACAGCATAGTCCCTGTGCACAGTAAAAGTTCAATAAATATTAAGTAACAAAATATCAAACATTAAAATACTGGAGGGAGAACTCTCTAAATTTGCTGCTCTTCTAATGCTCTAGCCCTTGGGTGAGTTTAAATATCATTTACTATGATTCAATGGAATACATTTAACATCTCTTTCTGTGCCTCCAGGACTAAATCAGCATAGCCCTAGCCTTAAAAAGACCCAGTATTAAACAAGCTTTAAAAGGGAGACAACTCTTCAGTCCCAGGAAGCACAATTCAGGTGTGAAGAAAGTAGGAGAATATTTTTCTTTGGAGTGACTGGGTTATTCATTGTATGGAAAAGCTTCCCCTGACTCAGAGACTGGGAGTCCTAGAGAAGCAAAGAACAGTTGATGCTTTCCAACGTTGTACAAAATGTAAATAATACATCTCTGAAAAGGAGATTGGATGAAAATATCCAGGATGCTCACCAGCGAGGGGCTTTCACTTTCAGGCAAGTGTTTAATACCAACTTCCAGGCTGCTGTCTTCCTCACTGCTTACAGGTTCAGGGCCACTGTGATCCTAGGGACATTAGAAAGAAAACAGAGAAGCTGTCATTCTTCACTCACACTGCCCAGAACTACACAGACACCCAGTCACAGTTGCTTGTTTTATTGTTGTCACGGACTTTGTGTTCTCTCCTGAGGCCATTTCTATTCTCTTCCTTTTCAGCAGAAGTCCACTTACCCCCATCCCAGGGATCCCGCCTTGTTGCTCACAGATGTGCCTTAGAGGAAGCTGATCCCTACTCTCTCCTCCGAGACCAGGCTTGATTGCCTGAAGGTTAATCCCGTTGTCTTTGTCAATGATTTGGTCAGAATAAGTGTGTGATCCAATTTTGGCCAATGAGACACAATGAGAGGCTTGTGGAGACTTCTGGAAAAGTTCTTTCTTGATCTTAAAAGAACCACAAGAAGTCCCCATGCCTCCCAAATTAACAGTAACCCCCGAAGCTTAAATTGCCATGGACAGCCATCCCACCATGAGGAAACCAGCTTTGGGATGAAGCTGACACTGAATGAGAGCGCAAAGACAGACGGAAAGAACTGGTTCTCTGATGGCAAAGCTGGGCCACTGGCTCAAACTGACCTGAAGCCTCATTTTTAGCAGCCTTGTAATTAGATCTTATAGGTTTACTCATGGTTTCAGACAGTTTGAGTTCTATTCTGTTCCCTCCAGCCAAAACTTTGAGATACATGTTTATCTCCTGCAAAAGATTAAACCATTTGAGATAAGAGACTATGTTTATATTATTTATTTCTGAAACTCAAGTACTTAGGATGGTACCTGGGACATGGAAAACACTTGATAAATACTGGTTGAACCAATGAATGAAGTACTTGTTTTCTTGATAATTTTTTTCTGCAGAATCCTAAAAATATTTATTTAATATGAGTAAGACATCTGGTAATAGTAAGTCCCATTAAAATTCTAAAACACATTTGGCATCTGTTCAATTGAATTATAACACATTAAATGCTATAGTTAATTAACCAGAAGCTCCCTTACTTTCTGAGGGTACCTGGGGGCAACTAAGGATGATAAATGGAATATCTACATTGTATTTATTTGGGTTTTTATTTCAAAACACTAGCATCCTGGGATTACTATAAATTTGGGTGAGAATGTCTGTAGAGAAAACAGTTTTGATTTTGGGACATTCAACCTCACTTATAACTTAAGAAATGCAAATTAAAGTAAAGATATAGCATTCTCTCATCTATTAAATAGACAAGAGAAAAGAAAGAACATTCAGTATTGATAATGCAGAGAAACAGGGATTTTTATATGCCACTGAAATAATATAAATTAGGACAATCTTTTCAGAAAAAAACATACATAATATATATAGATATATGAATATATAGATATAGATATAGATGCATATAGGGTAAATCTTTTAAATTGCTTACATATAAGCATATAGGGTAAATCTTTTAAACTGCTTACATCTGGAGAATAGGATTAAGGATTACAGAATTTTTGCATTAGTTATTTCTATACTGTGATTAAAGAGAAATAGCAGGTATTATTGCAAGTTCTAAAGAAAAGGAGAGGAGCTATGAGAAATATCTGAAAGAAAAAGAAATCCACAAAAGAAAGCAGCATGGACTTCAGAACTGGCCAGATGTGGGTTCAAATCTCAACTCTGCCACTCAGAACTGTATGACTTTAGGCAAGTTACTCCTTCCTAAATCTGAGCACCTGTTTTTAAAGTACAGCTAAAGTACCAGATTAAATGACCCTGTCAGGTTGCCTTGAAGATTAATGCATTAACATGTAAAATGTCTGTTAGCACAACAATGGGTGCAGTTAATAATACTTTTTGCTTCTAGCTTTTAATTGAGACACGTTATCACACCCTGTTTCATGCAGCAACTCTCTATGGGTATGTACTACAGTGATCCCAATTCATGGATGAGAAAAGTGATATACTGTAAACAGCTGGCTAAAGAACTCCTAGCTAGCAAGAGGCAGACCCATGATTCAAAGTTAGGCAAGACTGACACCACAGGTCATACTCTGGGTAACTATGCTCCAGGCCCTAAGTAAACGATGCTCTTGTTTCTCTCATTCTTTTTAGTATTGAGTGTTGATAACAAATCTTACGGAAGACAGGACGCACAATGTTAAAAAAATCACTGTCATTAGACCATGAATTTTTTTTTTATTTTGGTATCTTTAATCTACAGTCACATGAAGAACATTATGTTTACTAGGCTCCCCCCTTCACCAAGTCCCCCCAACAAACCCCATTACAGTCACTGTCCATCAGCATAGTAAGATGCTGTAGAACCACTACTTGTCTCCTCTGTATTGTACAACCCTCCCCATGCCCCCCCACATTATACATGCTAATTGTAATGCCCCCTTTCTTTTTCCCACCCTTATCTCTCCCTTCCCACCCATTCTCCCCAGTCCCTTTCCCTTTGGTAACTGTTAGTCCATTCTTGGGTTCTGTGATTCTGCTGCTGTTTTGTTCCTTCAGTTTGTTCTTATACTCCACATATGACTGAAATCATTTGTAGACCATGAATTTTTTTAAAAATGTTTCAGCATTTGTTAACCAGAGAAATTCATTAGGTAGAACATCTTCCTTTCAGTGACTTTTTGGTAATCAACATATTACCATATAATATAAACAAGTCCACAATAAGAAACAAAGCTTGAAAATTCACAGATTTTCATAATTTCAGACAGTGGGTTTGTTCTAGGGAGAGGAAAATTCTGAAAAAATGAATTACACTTCCCCAAACTAGTATTTAACCTATGGAAAATCATCAAGACCCCAATTACTTAATGTGTCTGCTTCTGTAAGCTGTGGGGAGCCTTGATGGAGCCCTGGTGGGGCTATGCTACCCAACTGGAGCTTCAAAACAGTCAATGTTTGCAACTATAGCACATTGGTTTGTAGAGCAGACCCATCGGTAGCTCCTTTTGTAACCCTGCAAACAGCCATCACCTGTGGTCCCAGAAGAGAGGGGAGTCGCACTAGGATGGTGCCAGCTGATGCCATTCATCTAACTATGTATCTAATCTAAAGGAAAGTGTGATTTAAATAAATCAAAGCAATCTTTATATTTATATTTCTTGGCAATGTAAGTATAGAGGATGAGGTTTTCTTGGTCTTTATAAAATGAGCACTAAACTGGGGGAGAAAACAGTTACTTGATGATTCAACTTAGAAAATTTAAGAAAACATGGGTGAGGCAGTCTAAGTTGCAAATGGTCTTTAAGATCTGAATGAAAACGAAAAGAACACCCTTTACCCACAGGACTACCATACAAAGCCAAGTCTCAAATGCCATTTACTCCATAAATCCTTTCCTTCTTAGCTGGAAGACTGCCTCTTCTTCCTCTAAACTCACCTGAGTTTACCTGAACTGTCACTTAGCCTCATTTCATTTGCATCTTCATCATGTATGTGCAGAACTGATTTCCCTGATGAGACTGAAAGATCCTTATATCCAATATCTGTGCCTCATTTATTTGTCTGATCTGTTTTTATATTTATCCCAGGTCTGTCTTGTTTCAAATCAAGGCTCTTTTTAACTATACCATGAGCCCTTTCCAAAGCTTTCCTTCTGTTTTTAGTTGCTGGGTTAGTTTAAGACGGCTCCTTAGAGGAGGGTTTGAAGTCAAACACTAGATGGAAAGGGGAGTCAGGTAAAAAGGAAGTTAGGATTAAGAGAGGTTAGCAATAAAGCATTTATTTTTCCTAGGAGAGCTAAAGTTTATTAAAGAGTTTTCATGCTTAAATGAGACACAGAACAAAACAATGTGGGTTCTGTTCTGAGAACAGAATGGCTCATATGTGTTAATGGGCTTTCAAAATGCCCGGCTGATCAGGAGCTTAGAAAACAGGAATCAGCCAGAGATGGGAAGGGGAAAATAGGTCAGCCAGCATGATGTCCAAAGCACAATTGTATCACGGTGGCTTGAAGACCATCTGGCTGATGGGATGATGGCCCATTGACACCAAGATGATTCAGCTAATCCAGACGGATGGGTGTCCCCTTTCTCTCTTGCTGATCTTCAGACCACCTGTCCAACGCTGCCTATTTAGCCCAGGTTGCTTAAGAAGAATGACCTTTCCTCATGAAGACCACAGTCAGTAGATTCCATGGTGAGTTTTGTTTTACAGATGAACAAAAGGAAAAAGCAAAGCTTTTGATTTTACATTTAACAAATAAACAAACAAAAACTAATGAGAATACTGTTCAATCCTCAGAGAGAAGTCTCTTTTAAACCTTTAGGAAGTTCTCAACTCACTTCCCTGGCTCCTCCAAAATCTACAAAAAGCAATGATAATTTTATTTTTATACTACTTAATTTTTTTTCATATCCACTATCTGTAGTTTTCACTAACCACAGAATGAGAACCTTGAGAGCAGGACTTTATGTTTTTATTTGAGAGAGGGGGCTATCAATACAAGTTGAATAGTTAAGGATGTTGTTGTGGATTGGGAAAACCCACACCTGCTGATGAGATAAACGTTCCACCATGCTATTCTCTACCCGACTTCCTCATGTAACATAACAAGAGTATGTTAGTATATACAACTGTTTTACTTTACTTTGATATAATTGAGAGTTCTTTTTTTTTTTTCAGTAAAAATGTATGTTGGTTTAAATTTTATCATCCCCATATTTCCAATCCATTACTCTCTTAAAAAAAAAAAATACCCACGAAATGATTTATTAGTTTCATTGCCAGCCTAAATTCACAAATATTTCTTTCTCAGTCACTTTGACTAGATGTGACAAATTTAATTTCTTTCTTCTACCCCCCATCGTGAGCAGATTTTTTTGGGCTACTCAGAATTCCAGGAAGGCAGTGCAAAATCAAAGATAAAATGTAAATTATGCTAATGAACTCCCTGGGTAATCAACTCATCCATTCTTTATGAGGCCTGCTCCATCTCACTTAATATTCAGAAAAACACAACTTCCAATAAAAAGACAAAAATGAGGTTCTATAAAGATACTCTGAAAGATTCAGGCTCCCTGGTTGAGGATGG